GACACCCACCGGACTGCTCCCTCTTTCCTGAGATCTCTGCTCAAGTATCACTTTGTCAGTGGGGCCATCTTTTTAATAACTATGGTAGCCAAGTCCAAAAACGGTCTCTCACCGAGCCTCACCCTCTAGCGCTCCAAGCCTTCTGCAGCCCTCTCCTCTGGGGTCTGGGGGACCCTAGGACTCGTTTTGACGGTAGAGTGTGGCAGGGGTCACACTGCATGACTTCGAAGTTCAGGTCGTAAGAAGCTTTGCAATTCTTGCCTGGACTTCTTGGAACACTTGTCTCAGGGAGGGCACAGTGTGTAAGAAGTCTGACTACCCACTCCTGCCATATTGTGAGGAAGCCCAAGGTAGCTCGGGGATAGGCCCTTTGGAGACACAGTGATGCCCGGCCGGAGCCTACACATTCCAGCTTCCCAGCGGAGGGGCCAGCCGTGCGAATTTTAAGACATTTTATATGCAACATGCACTCGATTCTTTACCTAGCTCCAGTCTCAGTTGTCATATGGTTGTGAAGACCCCACGCGAGAATCACCAAGTCAACCTACATCATCATGATGAATTATGTCGTAAACCAATGGGGTGTTTTGCTGTGCAGGCTTGAATGTCGGGCACAGAACATTGGGAGTCACACCCTCTCCCATCCGTAATGACACTCTGCATCCTCCTTACCTTGTTCTGTTTTCCTCCATTGCCCTCATCACCAGCCGGCTTCCTGTGTGTGCACCTGTTTGTCAGCCTCTCCTTGTCTCCATGGGGACGTCAGTGTTGGGAAGGCAGAGACCTCGTCTTCTTCACGGCTGTAGCCCTAGTGCCTGAAATAGTAGAGGCCTTCAGACAGGCCCTCAATTCATATTTGTTGAACGAATGCCTATGTTTAATTTATTTTGCTAAATTCTCTTTTTTTTATACATAACAAATCCATGAAAAGAAATGCCTGAAGTTATTTTCCGTAGTTCCTGCCTTTGAACTTCCCTGGGAGGGACACATGGCCTCCAGCGCTGTAAACTGCTTCGTCTTCGCCTTCCCCGGGAGGCACACCTTCCAAGCGGGAAGAAGGAAGGCTCCGTCCTTCAGGATGCACCAGGCCCAGGAGAAAGGGACCAGGAGTGTCCTGTCCTCCTCTCCCTGGCACAGTCTTAGCTGGAGTCCTAGCTCCTCGGTGTGACGGGGTCAGGAGGTGGGGCCTTTGGAGGGGACGGGGTCCCGGGAAGGGAGCCTTCTCCAGTGGGATTATTCTCTTATGAAAGAGCTCTCGGAGGGTTCTGTAGCCCTCTTTCTGCCGCGTGAGGATGCAGTGGGAAGTGGCTGTCTGTGACTTAGGAAGCAGGCTCCTACTGGCCGTGGGCTCTTCCAGCGCCCTGATGTTGGACTTCCCTGGCAACACAAGTATTAGAAGTAGACATCGGTTGTTTAATTCTCCCAGTCTGTGGCGTTCTGTTATAGCAGCCTGAAGATGAGGTGATAAGGGTCAGACAGATCCTATGAGCACTTCCCCTGAACATGACCACATGCAGGTGCCTAGGGTCAAGTCAAACCCCAGTGAGGGGTTCTTGTCAGTCCACCCGTACCGCCGCGCGGTCACCTCTCCCTTCACTCACTTCTGGAAGGATAATTCCTTTCCGCTCCAAATCACTTGCAGAATGCCGGGGCACTCTCACACACTAAAATATGAACGCCTGACATTCACAGTTATTAGTCAGAACGGAAGAGCGCAGTTGGATTGAAAACCGTAGAAACGGAATGGTTACAGTGATTTATAAGCTTGGAAATAGGAATGTTTTGGGTGTTGAAATACAGTTCAAGGTCTCATCTCAACCACTTCTGCTGGCACAGGGCCGTTCTAGCCATTAGTCTTGTTTACAGCTTGTTTCGGGCACATCCAGAGGAAGAAGGCGGATTCTTGAGGAAATAAATGTGAAGGAGACAAAGAGCCTGGCCAGGCGAGTGAGCCCTCTGTGTCACGTGACCACGAGGCCTGAACACTTGCCATCTGCTGCCGCGGTTTCTGATCACGTCTTCCGGGCGCGGAAGGTGCATTTTCCCCAGGCACAGCAACGTGGCGCCCCGCCTTTTAGACATGGTGGAGAGAAGGAGAGCCTGCCTTGCCGCAGAGCCTCGCTCACGGTTAGCAACAAGGGCGCGGAGCTGGCTTCGCCACTGCAGATACGGTGCTCAGGGGTCCTCGGTGTGCCTCCGATGTGCCGTGACCCGGGGAGCTGCCCATCTCACTTCTTCGTAAATGACACTAACTGGTCGCTTCTCCAGAAAAGGGAGACTATAAAATATAGTCAAGGTTTTACTTCTCTCTAGATTGAAAACTTCTCTGGCTTTGCAACAATAGCTTTTCAAGATTATTTATTTATTTATTTATTTGGGGTTTTATCCGGTACCGGGAATCAAACTCACGACCTCATGCTTGCCAGGCAGGTGCTGTGCCACTGACCTATATCTCTTTCAAGATTCTTTTAATTTCCTTCCTCCCTGTGGTTCCTTTAATCTTAGAGTAAAGCCTGGGCACCCTGTTGAACAACCCCATTTATAAGATTAGAAAACTGAGATTTAGAGAAGCTGACATCAGCCAGGAAAAGAGACAAATCTTCAGGTGCAAAGTCCACACATCCTCCATCATGGAACGCTGTGCGCTTACAGGACTATACAGCAGAGACTTCGGGGGAAATTCTAGAGTACGGCCGCGGGGCTGCGCATGCTCCTAGGCGTCTTGCAGAAGAGAAACTAGCCTCCAATCCCCGTGCGGCTTGTTGAAAACCATCTGTATTGTTCAGGTTTCCTCTTACAAATTCTGGATTCTAATTCATAGGAACCCAGAACCAAGTTTAGGTATTGCTTCGTTCAAATCTAACATAGGTTTCATGGAAAAACTCAAAATAGCCTCATTTAAAACAACCAAAACCGTGTCTTTGGATGTGACTTTCACAGACACATTATTGATAAGCGACTGTGTTAAAAGAATAATATAACAGTAAGGTATCTTTAAAGCCACACAGGCCCTTTTCATGTTAACAGCAAAATTACAGGTTTGAAACGAATGGCAGAATGAAGGTAAAAAGGTTATGTTAGGAGGACTGAGAGTACAGTGATGGTTTTGGCTTTCATCTAAATTCTTCCGAGTAACTAGATTTAGGGTTCAGATGACCTCATGTGACTACTTTATAAAAACAGAAGCTTTTGCCAAGCACTGACATGCAAAACATAAACGAAAATTTTTTTCCACCAGGGACCAGCCCAGCTATAGTTGGAAGTTCAGTAATTTATCTGCACATACACAGTAATTAAATCTAGCTTCTGACAAACTTAAAGTTAAATTTTAATGGCTTTTTATGGCTGGGTAATAAATGGTATGTAAATGAGTCACGGATGGAGGACTTAGTTTATACATACAAGTTTAAAGTGTCAAAAAGTACTGATTGATATGCTGAGAAGGAAAGAGGCCATAGGTATCTGTGTTCTAGGTTTAGCTCAGCTACAGTTGGTGCTTAGCCAAATCATTCAGCTTTCTGTGCCTCAGTTTCCTTTTTGGTAAAATGTGATAGCTGCACTCGGCTTTGTAACTAATAGCGCTTAAATCTCTAAAGCTTTCCCTGCGTCTGATCTAACTTAATCCTTGCACTTTTTTTTTTTTGAGGTAGGGTCTTGCTATGCATTTCAAGCTGAACTTGAACTTGCTATGTAGCCAAGAGTGGCCTGAAACTTGGGGTGAGCCTCCTGCCTCAGCCTCCTGAGTGCTCGGATTACAAGTGTGCGCCACCGCATTGGGCAATCCTTGTACTTCTATGAAGAAAACAGGACAGAAACTGTTACCCTCACTATACGGATGGGGAAACTGAGGCTCAGAGAGGCTAAAATATATGATCAAAGTCACACAGAGAGCTAAGGTTCAGACACATCTCTGTGTAAGTGGTTCCCTTGCCTAGAGCCTCTACAAGTGTGACATAGGAAGGCTCTGTTTAGGCATTGCTCAATTATCACCAGACCTGTAAAGTCCCCTAGAACAGCGTGTTCTTTAGCCCCAAGGACTAAATGCTCCTTTGGTTCCACAGCAGGAGGGTCTAATTAAGTACTAAGTTAATAGCCAACTTTATGGCCAAGATAATAGCAAAGCCACATTACACTGGCTCCGTCTTGTCAAGCAGCCACTTGTAAGACTTGGTGCTGATTTATGTCCCTGATATTTACTAGGATCTCTGGGCCTCTGTGAAAGTGCATTCTCCCACTGCTGTGTCACTGACACGTGGTAAGAGTCACAACAGCGGCCAGAGCACATGAATAGACAATGTAAAACGTACTTAGCAAGTTTCAGACGACGCTATTGTGTGTCTTTGCACTTGTTCCTAAGATAGTTAACTCCAAATAGTTGGTAATTCCTAACAAGCCACTATTTATGGCTTGTGTTATAGCTTGTATTTGATGTCTCGCCCAAACCTCCTGGGGTCATAGGTGGGGCTTTTTCGGAGGGGGCTGGCTCTAGTGTATGTGACTCTGGGGTTGATTCGTGGTGCAGCGCTAGGATCAAGGGCACTCAGGTTAAGGATGTGATCCCAATAAATAGCCTGGGTAAGATAGGAGGGATAGGAAGAGCTGTGGTCGCCTCCTTGCTTGCTTTGCTATCTTCTTCCTGCTATGAACAGTTTCTCCTCTGCAATGTCTGTCTGCCATGTGCCACCCTGCCTTGGAGCCAGCTGATTATGGACTGAAACCTCCACACACTGTGAGCTAAATAAACTTTTCCTCCTTTAACTTTGGGTCTCATGTATTTTCTCAGCAACAAGAAAAATAACTAAGAGAGGCAGTTCCTGATTTCTACCCAAAGTCACATTCACTTACATCTGTGTGGTATACTTCTATATTTTCAAAGTGCCTTCATGTTTATTGTTTCATTTCATCCATATATAATGGTAACAGGTGGTTGAAGTTGTTTTCTGTGATCTCCAGAACAACTGTTTAGTTATTCTCTGCTTTTCTGTTTTTATCCCACAAAGGCATCATGAGCACTAAAGGATGGACATAACAGAGGTGTCACAGAGCTTCTCTGAAGATAACAGAAAGCACAGTGCAGTGTGCTAATCCACCTAAAATCAGGGGTGCTGGAAGCCAAGGGCCATGGTGATAATAGAATAAAGTGACACGTATCTCAAGTCATAAAGTGATCTGAAAAACAGAACCTAAGGTCAGTCATCAAATGAGGATTCCAAAGGGTAAGAAAAAGTGCTAGGAATTGGTAAGAATATCTTTGTGGCAGAAGGGTCAGCAACGTTTAAGGATTTGGAAAGAGGACTAAATAAACTTGACCAAAAACCTGTGGACTCACAGTCAGAGAAGTGGAGAGAGGTTAACTGAGGTGTCATGGTTTAATCAAATCCTTTTTATAATAAAGTTTTACACATTGTTTTAAAATGTTAGTTTTTTTTGTTTTGTTTTGTTTTTTGATTTTTGGAGACAGGGTCTCCTATGTAGTTCAAGCTGGCCTTGAGCTCACTTTGTAGCCCAGGCTGGCCTCGAACTCACAAGGATCCTCCTGCCTCAGCCTCCCGAGTGCTGGGATTATAGGCATGTGCCACCACGCCCGGCTTCAAGTGTTTCTTTTTAAAAAGAAAAAATATATGCTCATATACACTTAGGAAGAATATCTGCAGATATATCACCAACACTACTACGTTAGCTACATTTGTCAAGAACAGAGTTCATATTTCTATGGATTTTGATCTGATTTTTTTTGTACCAGGAATTGAACTCAGGACCTTCTGCTTGCCAGGCAGGCGCTTGCACCACTGAGCTATATCCGCCAGTTGTTCTGATTTGATACTGATGTTTCTAAATATTCTTGAAGCTGGGGATATTCTTGAAGCTCAGTGGCACGGTGCCTGCCTGGCAAGTGTGAGGTTGTGAGTTTGATTCCAGGTACCCAAAACAACAACAAAAAATGCATAAATATTCTTTGAATATGTGTAACAGTATTTTCTTTCATAAACAGTAAGTTCAGTGTCCTTTAATTTATTTTATTTTTTGTTCAGTGTCCTTTAACACTGGAGAGCTACTGACCTGCTTGTAAACTTCCTGTTAAATTTCCTTGTTTTGTTTTAAAGTAGGGCTGTTGTTGAACTCATTATGTAGCCCAGGGTGGCCTTGAACTTGTGATCCTTCTGGGCCACCATGCCCAGCTAAGTTTGCATTTTAAGTCAGTGAGCTTCAATCATGGGCCCATCAAAAGATTATGGTGGATAAGAAAAGGAAGAGAAGACTGAGAAGAAAAAGTCACAAGATGAAGACTCAAATATTATGGTCATTATTTATTTATTTATTTATTTATTTTTGTTGTTTTGAGGCAGGGTCTCGCTATGCAGTTCAGGCTGGCCTTGAGCTCACTTTATAGGCTAGGCTGGTCTCGAACTCACAACGATCTTCCTGCCTCAGCTTCCCGAGTGCTGGGATTACAGGCGTGCCACCACGTTCGGCTCACTAGTCCCTTTTTAAAAAATCTAACATTCAGGGCCTCCTTACTGTTCGCTATCTGGAACGGCTGGCAGGAAAACCTGGTGCGGTTCACAGCCCCCTTGGGGCCACAGCCCTAGTTCGGCTGAGTTGTCCCCCTCTTGCCCTCCAGATGCAGCCACACGGCCCCCTAGTGACCGGCATGGGAACTGCAGCTGCCCACAGCTGGGAGAAGGCTGACCGCTCTGGCGTCTGCGTAGGCCTGGAAGGAGGAGGAGGAGGCCCTTTGCCAGGCTCTGTCCTCGTGCGAGCATCTCTCACGCAGAGCCGCAAGCGCTCACATTACCTACGGGCTCACGGAGCAGATAAGGTGAAATTACATGAACTGGAATGCACTGACTTTTAAATAATCACTGTTGCTTTTGTTAGTCAAGCCCTTGGAAGAGGCCACGGAGGAGTCTTGTTGGGCGCAGATCTATCATAAACCAGAGGAGTTCACATAGGCAAAACGTGGGAAATCAACGGTCCGATCCCTTCGCTCCAAGAATGAGGCAACTAGCGGGAGGGCGGTGTGCATCCGCAACCCCGGCGCTCTGGGGGACTGAGGCGGGAACGCCGCAGATCTGAGCCTAGGCTGCGTGTTTTGTGTATGTGTATTTCCAGTTTGTCTTGCTCTGTTTTATGGGACGTGGACAGATTGAAGGGGGACTATTGCGGGAGGCGTAGGGAGGGCCAGGGCCGCTCGTGGAGATGAGAGTGCGCTGCTTGGGGGTCTGGAGAGAGACATCGGGGAGCTCCAGGAGAGGCCCGCGCCCTCAGGTGATCGGTCGGGGTGTCCAAGAGGGTCTGAAGCTGTGGTCGGAGGGCGGGGCGGCGATGCCGGGGTGTCAAGAACAGCCTTTCCAGCCGGGCGTGGTGGCACACCCCTGTAATCCCAGCACTTGGGAGGCTGAGGCAGGAGGATCGTTGAGAGTTCGAGACCAGCCTCGGCTACAAAGTGAGTTCAAGGCCAACCTGAACTGCATAGCGAGACCCTGTCTCAAAAAGACAAAAAACAAACAAACAAACAAACAAACAAACAAAAAGAACAGCCTTCCCCGGATCAGCGGGCCTGGCGGGGCTCCCAGGCGCACCTGCGTCGTGTCTGCTGTGATAGGTCCCAAGGCGCGGCGTGGGAGACGGGAGCCCTTCCAGGAGGCCACACCTGGCTTCCAGAGCCGCGGGCCGTGGGGAGCGGTGAGCGGGCCTGACCTAGAGGTGTGCTTTCCTCTCGGCAGTTTTGGTCGAGCTGCTGTCCTATCCTCTGACCACTGAGGACCTGCAGGTCGGGACTGCCTCCAGGGGAGAGCTCTGCTGCTAAGGGGTTTCACCCCCTTGTCTTGAGTGGGTAGCCCCTTCAGGAGCTAAGGGGTTTCACCCCCTTGTCTTGAGTGGGTAGCCCCTTCAGGAGCCACTACGGTAGTTAAGAGATTTTACATCTCCATAGGCGGAAAGGGTGAGATTTCACAATGGTCAAACTAGGTTTTAGTCTTCAAATATCCGAAGGGGCGTAAGAAGTGGATTTTACTGGTTCTACCTGCTGGGACAATGTGGAGGTGCCGGGGGAACGGGACTAGGAGAAAGACAGTGTTTTGGTATTCCAATGACAGGGAAGAAAGACGCTCAGAAAGTCACAGTGCAAAGTGGAATGAGCTGCCCTCAGGACCCACCCGAATGGGGCAGGAGCCCCGTCCCCGTCCCTTCCTCGGGTTAGTTAGGTCCTTCCGTTTAGCCTCAGTTTCTGCGTTTGTCAAATGAGACTCACATACTAACTACCTTCCTGGATTACTTTCAGGGTCAGTGATACGGTACTAACATGCCAGGCCCATAGGAGGTGGTCAGTAAGTAGCAGAAATTATTTTCAGTAGAAAACGAAATGCTGTCAAAGGTGGATCATATCTCAGTGAGCAGTTACAAGTTACACGCAATCATTGATCCCCTTTACTCCCCCAGATCTATGATTGCTAGTATTTTCTCTGTAGCTTTCCCAGAGCTACCCAGCTTAGTGGCAAGGCCTTCTGCTCTGAAATGCCTTAGGTAGCAGGGCTGCCAACGCGAAGCTCTTGCCTGTCGGGGCTACACAGATAATCCCCTGAGGATAGCCAGGCCTGAGGGACAGGACCCTTTAAGTCCCGTCTTTTTAAATTTGGAGTAGGTTCTTTTTTTTTTTTTCTGGTACCAGGAATCTAACTCAGGGCTTTATGCTTGCCAGGGAGGCCTGAGTGGGCTCTGAAAAGGCTCTAAGAGGGAAACCCCGGGAAAGCTGTTCCAGGAATGGGGTGCAGGCGGGTTACAGCCTGACGACGTCAGGGTCCCACATGTGGTGGGCAGAGCAGAAGTGGAAGAGCCAGGAACTGGAGGAAACAAACGCAGGAACAGTCTCTCTGCGTTTGGGGCGTGGTACACTCAGGTCAGACCAAGCCTCTGAACGTGTCCATCCTCTATGCTGCTAGAATGTTACGCTGCGGTCCACACAACTTCTGTGCTGGATGAAAATTGAGTATGAAATTAGTTCCCAATAGGTTTGGCCTTCATCAAAGGAAAGAAAAGAACAGCAGCTTCCTTTTATAAATAGCAACTTATTTTAGCAGTTTTCCCCTTCTAACTGAAGCCCGTGGCAGAAAGCAGCACAACAGCCTGCGCCCACACGAAACCTCAGGTTTTAGTCATCTGTCTCCGAAGGATGTTACAAACAGGCATTGCCTCAAAAACGGAGACTCCCTGGGAGCTTGTGCCTCAGGATCTGGGGAGTTTGCAGTCCGCGATGATGTCCAAACAGATTGCCTTGTTTGGGTTTCCCACCGACGGTGTCTCTCTCCTGCCTCGCCCAGTCAGTGGGCTGTCTCTTTCACAGCAGAACACAAATAGTCACTTGTCTACTTCGGAGATCCGAAGAAGTCCCTAGTACAACCTCAGCATGCCTGGGGGATCCATGGCAAACCTGCAGTGAGTGACTCAAGGCAAGTACGAGACAATTCACAAAGGTAAGGTCACCGGAGCTCTGGAGTGGCCACGAGGGATTGGGCACTGTTATGGTTTGGTGCTTATTTTGCAAGGGGAAACAATATAATACAGGATACATATTTTATAAGATTATTTATAATAGTCACCTAATGAATGATTTATAAAAGAGTGCAGGAAATCTGTCCACACACTATAGACCAAGGAATCTAGCTGAGGGCCTGGATCCCACGGTAATGTCCTGCATGAGTCCAGCTGAAGACCTAGAGCCCATCACAATGCCTCCCACGAGTCCAGCTGGAGGCCTAGAGCCCATGACAAAGTCTCATGCAGGCCTGTTTCACGGATCTGCTCTGGGAAGGCCCAAAGGTCAGTGGTGGACGCTAGAAAGTCTGCACCAGCTGGATGAAGGATCTGTGCCAGCAGGCTGAGGAATCTGCACTGGAGCCAGGAAGCAATGCTCAAAGTAAGAACCAGAGCTCCCCCGAAAGGTACCACAGCCATCCTCAGCAACAGTCCCGAGCTCCTCCAATGGTAAACACAGCTGAGTTCCCATCAGGAAAGCCAATGCAGTGAGCTTCTCCAGGACACTGGCAGTGTACCATATTCCCTCCAAAGCTGGGAAGTGATGCTCAAAGTAAGGACCAGAGCTCCCCCAAAGTGAACCAAAGCTAATTTCAGTGCCAACAAGGCCCCGAGCTCCTTGGAGGATGAAAACAGCCAAGTTCATCAGGAAAGCCAGCATGACAAGCTCCTCCAAGAGAACCAACAGCTCCTTACAGCTTCTAGCAGCTCCCAATGGCCTTTCTCGGTTCCCAACAGCCTCGCTTCTTCCCCAGTTCTGCCTCTTATGCTGCAGGCAACAATCCCCAGGTGGGCCTCCCACACCCAGCACCATGCTTACTCAGTTCAGCTGGGGGTTGTAAGTTGACCACTGTCTTGGTTACTTTTCTATCATTGCTGAGACAAAAATACCCAAGGCCCAACATTAAGGAAGGAAAGATTTATTTAGCTCATAGTTTGTGGAGGTTTCAGTCCATATTCAGCTGGCTCCAAGGCAGAGTGGCACATGGCAGAGGGGAGCCGTTCATGGCAGTAGAACACAGCAGAAGTAACAGCAGCAAACGGGGGAAGGTGGCAAGCAGCCTCTTTCCCTCCCTTACACTGTATGCAAACTACCCGCCACAGGACGAGTGTAGCACTCACACCCATGATCCCAGCACTGGACCATGAATCAATCATAAACCTCAAAGCCCGCCCCAGGACTGCATGAGGATTTGGGGTACATGCAGACACAAACCATAGCAACCACCAGTTGTCAGTCCCCCACAGCCACCATCCTGGGTTAGTCCCAGGAGCAAAGAAAATGCAGTAGTTCCTCGGGGTTGTGCCTCTCAGACTTTAGCAAGCCCCGTCCCTGAGCTCCCTGGATGGCCGTGCTGCTGGTGAGGGGACGGTGTGACAGAAGCTGTGTACCACAGAGATGGGAGCCCAGCAGGGAGGCCCGGGGAGCCTGTCCAGTCAGCCCGGTCTCCTCCGCGGTCCCACCCGTCGCTCTGCACTGATCCCACTCACCCCGAGCGACAGGCACGGGGCTGCTGACGGCTGAAGCGACCCATCCATGTGGAAAGTGGATCGGGAGGAGCAAGAGGAAAACACACAGCACCTCCCTGCCACATCATCGCCAGGTCCCCACTCCCACCAGCTGTGGAGGCACACACCTGTGGTCCCAGCACTCTGGAAGGCTGAGGCAGGACAGCCACAAACTCAAGTCCAGCCTGGGTAATGTAGCAATTTAGTCAGACTGTGTCTCAAAATTTAAAAAACAATTTCTTTTTTTAAGGGCTGTGGATGTAGCTCAGTTTGAAGGTTGAAGGTTCAACCTCCAGCAGTAAAACCAAGCCAAGCCAGACCTTCCCCTCATCATTTTTCATATTATGTTCTATTTCTACTGCTTTTTTTTTTTTTGGTACCAAGGATTGAACTCAGGACCTTGCACTTGCCAGGTAGGGGCTTATGCCGCTGAGCTGTATGCCCGGCCACTGCTCAAATGTTTAGTGTATAAGGTTGTTCGTGTTGTGATCTCACAGTACTCAAACGTAGAAAGGAATCCTGTTTGCTTATCTACAAATAAGGAAACCCAAGCTCAAAATGGGAAATGTCACCTGACAGGTCTCAGGAGCCCCCGAGGCTGGGATAAGGAACCTGACCCACCCAGCACAGGTCCACTCTCTCGCTGCGGAAAAGGAATTTCCAGGATGCCTCAGTAAGAGGCGTGGGAAGGGTTTACTGGGCAAAAATTAAAAGGTTCATATTCAAAGAAATAGAGAACAGGCCTGACAAAAGAGAGAGAGAGAGAGAGAGAGAGAGAGAGAGAGAGAGAGAGATGCTTATTTTCCAGAACTGGGATCATTCAGCTTCTCTGGAGGGGTGGAAACCCC